TGGGTGTCCTTTAAGGATTTGTTAAGTTTAGGGAACAAAAAGAGGTCAGAAGGAGCTGAACCAGGACTGTAAAGTGAATGCCTAATGATTTCCTGTTGAAACTCTCACAGAATTGCCAATGTTTAAGGAGAGGAATGAGCAAGAGCATTGTCGTGGTAGAGAAGGACTCTCTGGTGAAGCTTTCCCAGGTGTTTTATGCTAACGCTTTGCGCTAACTTTCTTCAAACACTCTCGTAATAAGCAGATGTTATTGTTCTTTGGCTCTCCAGAAAGTTAACAAGGAATAACCTTTGAGCATCCCAAAAAACTGTTGCAATGACCTTTTCTCTTGACTGTTTTTCTTTTGACTGGGCCACTTCCACCTCTTGGTAGCCACGGATTGTGCTTTGTCTTCAGGATTGTTCTGGTAAAGCCATGTGTCATGTCCTGTCACAGTTCTTCAAAGAAATGCTTCAGGATCTTGATCCCACTTTTTAAAAATTTCCATTGAAAGCTCTGCTCTTGTGTGCATCTGATCTCTGCACAACAGTTTCAGTTGGAATTGTGTAAACTGAACCAATTGAGGTGTCTGTAGTGTTGGCTCTTGTTTCTGCTGTTGATCTTGAATTAGGGCATGAACAAGATTAATATTTTCATTGAAAATTGATGTGGATTTGCTTCTACTGTGGGCTTCATCAATATCTCCTTGTCTCTTTTTTTTGGTCTTTTTTCGTGTCCGGCAATGGATCGCAACCCTCAGTGTCGCGCCCGTANATAAACAGATACAGAGGAAGTTAAGATTATCTTACAAAACATCAGGAGCTGCATTTCTAGTGGTGTTTTATTGAATTAACCATTAGAAGGCTAGCAAATGGTTTATAATTTTTAAAAGTAATTTGTTCAGAATTGTAAATATTTGGCACTGTTTTTGAGTTAGGCAATTGTTTGCATATTCTGTGTGAAGTACTCAAATTGTTTTCTTTTTCCCTGCTATGATTCATTTAATTAAGGTCCTCATTACCTCTCACCCAGACCACATAGCCAACCAATGTGTCTCTCAAATCCATTTGCCCAGGTTCCTATGGGTTCTGACCTGTTTATTTAAAGTACAGATCTGTTTGTTTTCTTTTTGGGTGATTTCCTATAGCGGAAAGAATTAATAACATCTAGGTCCCTCCATAACTTGTTTCTTACCTTCTTTTCCCACCTCATCTTCCCATTTGTATGTCTTTGTCTGATACTGTGTGGTGTTTTTTTTTTTNGAGCGGGAACCGGTCTGTATGTGGGATCCGAACCCTTGGCGGGAGCGCCACCGCGCTCCCACGCAGCGCGCTGTAGCAGTGCGCCACCGGGCCGGCCCTCCTTGTCTCTTCTTAAAATGAGTTATCTATTTGTAAACTGCTGATTTCTTTGTCCCCATAAACTTTTTGTAAAGCATCAGGATTTCATCATTCTTCCGCTCAAATGTCACCATAAATTTGAAGTTTGTTCTTGCTTCAATGTTAGCAGAATTCATCACACTGATGTCTTATCTGTCTTAGTGCTTCAAACTAGATCCCATTCACACATGTTATAAAAAGTTAATATGAGTTTATTTTGGAACTAATTTGCAGTCCATGCATAGCTTTTTCATAATATGCATTTTCCATGAACTTTTTGAAGACCCATCATATATTCAGTTTATTTAAGAAATGTATTAGCTGTCTTTTATTTTTCTTTAACTCTTAAATTTGAGATTTAAGAACTCCCTTTTGTTAGCTGGCTCTTGTTTTTCTAACTTGTGAATTTGAGATTTAAAAACTCCCTTTTTTCATTTAGGAAAATGAAAATGAGAAATAAAATAAAACCTTATTTATTTATGAATCTTGTTATCTCATGCTTCCTTCTCTAATTGGAAGCAGGTTCTTTTTCTTTTACTTTTCATAAAATTAAATTAAGATATTGATGTATTTAACTTATATTTGTATTTCTTTAATATTTCTCTTTTGAGTTGTAGGTCATCTTTGTTTTATTTTCTTCTATGTATTTTTAAAACTTTCATTTTCATTTTTTTTTTCATTTTTGTCTTTTTTACTGACCGGTAACGGGATCGCACCCCTCGGTGTCGCGCCCGTACCGGGGACCGGCAACGGGATCGCAACCCTCGGTGCTGCGCCCGCACCACACTCAGCCAGTGAGTGGGAACCGGTCTCCACATGGGATCCAAACCCTCAGTGGGAGTGCCGCCGCGCTCCCAAGCGGCTTACTCTCCAGTGCGCCACCGGGTCGGCCCTCATTTTCATTTTATTCAAGACGTTGAACAGTAATTTATTTCTTCCTTTCTTTCTTTATTTTTTTTGTCTTTTTTGTGACCGGCAAGGGGATTGCAACCCTTGGTGTGGTGTCGCCCACACCGCGTTCAGCCAGCAAGTGCACCGGCCATTCCTATATAGGATCCGAACCCGTGGTGGGAGCGTCGCTGCGCTCCCAGCGCCGCACTCTCCCGAGTGCGCCACGGGCTCAGCCCTGAGCAGTAATTTCTTGAGTGATTTTTTTTTTGTGTGTGTGTTAGGTGAAAGTAATTTTCCTAAGGAATATTTAGTTCTTTTTGACTTAAAATTCCTGTTTCTTTTTTTTTGTTTGTTTTCCTTTTTGTCTTTTTTACTGACCGGTAATGGGATTGCAACCCTCGGTGTTGCGCCCACCCCAGGGACGGGCAACAGGATCGCAACCCTCGGTGTTGCGCCTGCACCGCCCTCAGGGGACTGGCAACAGGATCGCAACCCTCGGTGTTGCGCCTGCACCGCCCTCAGCCAGTGAGCGGGAACCGGTCTCCACATGGGATCCGAACCCTTGGCGGGAGCACCGCTGCGCTCCCAAGCAGCACACTCTCCAGTGCGCCACCGGGCCGGCCCTAAAATTCGTGTTGTTAATGAAGTATCACTGTCTGCTGTTCCGGCTTACTTTCATTGTTCAAATCTTAACATTCTTAAGTTTTTGTCATTTAAATCCCCCCACTGTTGGCCCCCCCAAAAGTTTTTTAAATATTTTAATCTCTTTGTAGGAATGAAAATTAAGAACTTCTCCTCCTTTTCGATGTTAAGAATTTTATCCCCCTGGGCCGGCCCGTGGCTCACTTGGGAAAGTGCGGTATGCTGATAACACCAAGGCCCCGGGTTCGGATCCCACATATGGATGGCCGGTTTGCTCACTGGCTGAGCGTGGTGCTGACAACACCAAGTCAAGGGTTAAGATCCTCTTACCGGTCATCTTTTTAAAAAAAAAAAAAAAAAGAATTTTATCCCATTAGAAATTTATTTGATAATATTTGCCAGATTATTTTCTACATAAACTGTTCATGTTTTTGTTAGTTTATATTCTTTTATATGTTTGATAAGAATATGGTTCATATTAAGTAAGTAATATTGGTAATGGATATTTAACTTCTTTACTCTTCCCATTAACTATGTGATGACGTTCCTGGGAAATGTGTTGAACTAGACAGAGTTACATGTGTCGTGGGTTAGGTTCTTACTTTCCTGACAGTCTAAGTGTTGGGCTACTGCAATCTCCGTCCTCCTGCCCTATCCCATTGCCTCCCCTTTAGTACGTTCTTCCAGACCATTCTTCAAAACTGTAAGGGGTATTTTTAAAATCACACATTGGAGCTCCATACTGGCTAGCTGCCAAAAAAAAAAATCACACAAAAAATGATAACCATTTTAATTATTTCAGGTCAACTTTATATTTGATAATATAAATTCATAATATAAATTTAAAATATCATTGCCTTATGATATATCTTCATTCAAAAGTTACATATGAATAAAGTTTTTTTTTTTAACAGATAAAAAATTTGGAGTGAAAGCTAGAATCAATGGGGCTCTGACTATAACGTTGAACTTGGTCAAACAGAATTTGCAGAATCATCGCTTGGTTCTACCTTGTCTTCAGCTTTTACGAGTATATTCTGCCAACTGTGAGTATTCGACTGGCTTTTAGTTAACTCAGTGTTGTGAAGTTACAAAATTT